TTACTAGGGAAATATATCTATAACGTAGTATAGTAACGATTATAGTTTAATAGCCTAGTAATATAACTATAAAGATCGTTATAACGAGAGCCCTATTATTAAAGAAGTTTATAAGATATATATATAATGAAAGAAGAAGAATAAGTGAAATTTAAAGAGATTTATAACTCTTCGATAAAGGTTTCGCCGAGATCTGTGATATTGCCTAATCGGGTTAGCGGTAGAAAGCTAGGGCTGTTCCCGCTTTGAATCATTCTTTTGAAATTCGTTGCTAAACCTGTCTAGTGCCGGAAGGAGCGGATATGACGTCTGCGGGGCGAGATCCCCATCAGCAATCAGCATGGCCCCGTCGCCAAGAGATGGGATCTTCATTCGTATTTTCATCGCCATTACTCCCATCTATGTCAATTTACTATTCATTCATTGCAATTCGTGCGATTTGGATATCTATTGGACGCCACCTAGCCTCTGCTTTCACTTTCTACTCATGCTGACGATCTGCTGCTCATCTGCAAACGCGGCTAGAAGAATCCTAGCTGCAAATAAGCAGCCATGGAAGTTGGCAGCCAACTGACCGCTTGATACTGCGCAAGTCAACCGGAGCTGTACGTTCCGCTGAAGTCCTCTTGCAGGATTCGGAGAGGTCAACCACTCGGGAAATCCTCAAGGCTTTAATTCGAATACCCTTTTTTGTGTCCATTCCTATGTACCAAAAGCGAAAGTCTGCGAAAAACAATAATTGATTGTGGGAATCAAGAAATCTCTACACGATGCTTTCAAAGCTGGAGAAATTGGATCGACTCGTGACTAGTATTTTGGCCGCATGAGTATGCAGTCATGCAGTAGCTGCTGCAGGGACCGATCCCTGTGGCCAATATTTCGGCGTATCCGTATCATGTGGGGGTTTGCGTTCGGAACCCAGGTCCAATTGAAGACATGTCTGCCTAACTGAATATCCGGAGTTTTCTGCTTCAGTAACTCCCTCGGTGTCTGGGCATGGCATACTTAAGAGTTGAATTCACCGGCACTTTGGACGGTTCTTTTAGACAACAGCTCAATGTTTAAACGCGCATCCTAATAATATTCAATCCTTTTTGGGAAGATCAGCGACGAATCCCTCGAACCAACAATAGTGTCCGTTTCTTTGCACGTATCAATTATTTTCCTCCACTCCTTACCATGAAGAGCTTTACCATCAGCTTCGCCCTCCTCTGTTTTATCACCTCAAGCCACGCGGCTCCTCACTCAGCTCACGCCGAACCTCGACAGTTCGAAGCTGGCATCACCTTCATCGGAGCAGGACCGGATCCACCTTCCTATTTCCAAGCTTTTCCCACGGATGATACCCTTCATACTATCAGTAAGCTTCTGATTCTTCTGACGGCCCCAAACACCTTGGGTCCCTAAACTGGCCCAGTGCGCTACTTAGGGCCGGTTCTTTATGGTCACGTATAACAAATGTATATGCCGATACTGATCATGCTCACAGACAACTCTCTCAGTGTCTCTCAAATCAGTTCTGCGGGTGGTGCTATTTGCTCCTTTTTTGGTGTCGATGGTAGCGATACTTTCATCCACGGCGGAGAGACCGTAGATGTCGGGCCGCCTCAGGTGCAGGTATCGGGAGTCTGCGATGAGGAGTGATTGAGATATGAGCATGACGGGATACCATGCGTCCGGGGTTCGAGGTCCAACAAATTCATAATGGAAGGCTCTGGTCTGCCCTTGGTGTGCGTGGCTTAGAGTTTTTCAGAGTCTTTCTCCCCGTCACTGCTCAAAAGTTGTGGTTCTTGATTCAGTCTGCTTTACTGTCTCGAGCACTGTGCACGTATATTCCAAAGATTGCCTTGCCGTCTGTGGAGATGTCACGTTCAGAATGTCTTTCACGTCCGGAAAAAGGTCACACATGCAGAACTACTAGACAGGGTCCAACAGTCTGCCAGAGTAAGGTATTCAGAGAAGCGGGTGTCATTATTGGGGTGTGTAGTAGTGTAGTGACCATGCTGTATCCTTCCCGCGCGAAAAACTTCTGCACGGATCTACTGACTGCCATTGGCTTTGATGTTGGTTACTGTACGTCTGCGCTAAGATGCATTAATTTGATGGAAAACAAAAAGCTGGTCTTCGTGTAATGATTGAATCATGGACTCTCACAAGCTGCTTGACAGTGACTATGACTGTGATGGACCTCGCAAACCTGCTGCCTCAAAAGCTGCTGGCGCAAAAACAATGCCTACACCCCATCTCTTAACTAGAGAAGACGCCGAGGTCAAATAGAAACAGGCGAAGTTGAAGGATGGAGAAAAATTGACTCAAATGATGGTGGGCAGCAAAGACGTGTAACGAGACGCGCCACTGTCGTCAATCCTGCTCCAGTAATACCGTTATCGATGCCCCTCCGTCGGCCGGCATAAAGCACAGCACGACGATGGGGCATTTTTTCACTTGGCCACCCGGACCAAGCGCGATGCGATTGACAGCCCATACGGGATCTTACGTCGCTCGCACCGTACCCATAAAGAAAAGCAAAATGCCCCAGTACCCACCGACAGTTTAGCAGCCCTACGGGACTTCCGCCGCACCATCAATGGAGCCGGGGACCACCGAGACTGCAACAGATCAGCGGCCTTCAAGGACTTCTGCTTCACCGTCGCCCATCTCAGTGGTATAGAAAGCCCAGGTAGTAACCAACAGATTGGCGGCGTTGAAGGCTGATGCCGTTCCGTCGGTACTACCTGGGGACACCAAGGTTCCAACAGGTTGGCGACACTCGTGGATTTATGCCGTCCCGTCAAACCCCTCGGTGTCAGTCCTTGCCCCAAGAGAGCCCAACAGATCGGCGGCTTTGAAGTCTTATGCCTCTCCGTCAAGGCTTCCTGGGGACGCTGGGGTTGCAACAGGTTGGCGGCACTTGTGGACTTACGCCGCCCCGTCGCTTTCCTCAGCGCTCGCATATGCCCCAAGCTAGACCAACAGTGCAGCGGCATTGAAGACTTATGCTTTTCCGTCTGTCCGCCTGGGGAACACCAAGGTTCCAACAGGTTAGCGGCACTTGTGGACTTATGCCGCCCCGTCGGAGCCTTCGGTGTCAAGGAACACGCCCACCGGAAGGCAAAGCGATTAGCGGCACTCGTGGACTTACGCCGCTCGCTCGACCCTCGTAGCGTTATGGAAGGCAGACAGATTGGCAGCATTGAAGGCTTACGCTGCACCGTCCGCTTCCTTAGCGTCGCCCACCAGATTACCAAGCGATGGGCAGCACCCGTGGACTTACGCTGCTCGCTCAGTCTTCTTGGTGTTATGGAAGGCAGACAGATTGGCAGCATTGAAGGCTTACGCTGCACCGTCCGCTTCCTCAGCGTCCCGGATGAGATTAAGGACGTCCCAAGTCCATGAGCGAAGGAATGAAGCAGGTCGACAACCTGTAGGCCACGCGTCAGCAAGAGCAGAGGGCGGTATGGAGAAGGTTGAGAACATGCCATGAAGAGTAACTGACGGCCTTCCCGTCGCGTAAGCATAGAGTAGAGGAGCATATATGAAAGAAATAGCTCGAGTAAGGACGACGATCGTGTCTCCTGCACTACCTGTAAGAATGAGCTCCAGAGCGGGTAGGCTGGTCTAGGTACGTACCATGTCAGGATCTGTGGCGTCACTGAGGTGAGTGAGGTACTAGACGCGACTATGATGAGCTCGAATGCTAGCTAGATCCGGGCGAGTGCGGTGGGCGAGATGGCTGAGGTCGCTCAAAGCCGACAGCAAACTTGAATGCGATGAGCTCGGGGGACTAGCTAGAAGGCTAGTCGTGGCGTACGAGAGGAGAGGTAGCTTGGTGTCGGTGGTAGAGGTAGGGCCGGTAGGAGGAAGAATGCAGGTAAGACGACCTCGTTGACGTGTTGTGGGTGGGGTGGCGGGGTAGGATCCGTCACCGCGGACATGCAGGTGAGGTATGGTGAGGAGAGCTCAGTTAGGATGGATCTAAACACAGTGTCAGCGCGGGCACAGTCAATGAAAAGGTAGGTTGCACGTCTTGGAGGGCACTGACAGCTGAGGTGGTCGGTAGACGAGGGAGGTGGCCGAGTCACCAAAGGGATGTCAGATGGAGCCGGGGGGGTGATCAGGCAACCCAGGCAAGCAACAGCAGCATGCGGTCAAGATGTTCGACGGAAGTTGATGTAGAGCGATGCTCGTGCGAGTAGAGTCACTGCCTAGTTGGAGGCAGGAATGGAAGGTAGAGGTAGGATGAGGTGGATCCAACCTTGAGAGTTGAGGTCAGGCTAGGCGCGTTGAAACAGCAGCACGCGAGCGAGAAACTTACCTCGAGACCTGGTGATGGTGAACAGTAACGGGAGCAGCAGCAGCGATGTTGCCGTGATGGAAGCGAATTAATGATGATTGTTACTGTGACTGTCTGAGTAGGAGTTGGGGGTTGGTGGAGTAGAATGAGATGTGGAGTGTGGTGGAAGTTGGTGGAATTTGATGGAATTGATGAGGACGTGACTGGATGATGTTGATATGCTGCTTGTGAACTGGAATTGTTCAAATTATGTCGCGACTGCTCGCGTTAGCCAGTCTTGGCATAGATGGCGTCGGCAGTACCCGGAAGATCTCCCGTTAGCGGCTCTTGGCAGCCCCTACTCGTAAAAGAGTTGGTCTGCGAGACTGCGAGAGCTTGAACATAACATAAGGTACTTCTCTCAATTCAATAAACGATCTGACTGCTACCACTGTCCTAATATGATCATGACTATCGAATGCTAAGGCATATCGCATGAATCGTGCGTCCCGTTGACTGAGGTTTCCTCTCAATCCTGGTCTGCTTCCCGCAACGCCTTTCCTACCAAGCTGGACCTCTACATGATGAATACAGCCAATGCAGTAAGCGAAGGACTATAGAATGGCAAAGGCTCATCGGGCACCAATGTGAGACCGGCCATCGCCTGCCCGTCATGCTCGATCCTGGATGAGGCATGAACAATCGCATTTTGGACCATAGCGAATAGCTACTTCTCCTGTATCCGGTCGCGGGCGAGATGGCTAAAGACTACCCGAAGCTCCTGTTCTGCCTCAGCTACACATCCGACATCTTCGAAGGACCCAATGTCGATTGTCGATGCGAGTAGATTTTGAGAGCGACGAAAAGCCGTTAAGCTGTCGATAAAAGTATTCGTTGCTGCGTAGGCTGCTTGCCCGCGGGTTCCAACGATGCTATAAAGTGATGCCAGCATGATGAAGTACTCAAACCCTGGAAGACAATGACGTAGGCTCCACGCGCCTTCCACCCTGGGTCCCACTACGCTGGTCCAATCGTCGAAGGAGGATTTTCGAACAGAACGTCCTACCGCCGACAGTCAGGTAACAGCTCAAGCAGACGGGAGCCAAATGACCTGACGCGGAGCATTATGGCACCATGAAACATCTTTTGTTGGTGGCATCGTCCCTTGGATCCCATTTATGAGGTCCTCTAATTGCGCTTGATTGCTTACGTCGCACTTTCGGACTGCGATAGGAACGCCATTGTCGAGAATGTCTATATCTTCGACAAGTGCGTGCGCTGAAGCGCTGCTAGAACCACTGCGCGAGACGAGCACGATGTGTTTGGCACCGTTCTTGGCAAGCCAGGATGCCAGTGACCGTCCTATTCCTCCGGTGCCGCCCGTGATAGGGTACGACGCATCTGCATGCGCTATTGTTGTGTAAATGAGAGGTGGTAGTGCCTATATGGCATGTTTCGGTATGAATCCACCCGGCACACAGACTTTGGAACATTATCTGTACGACCTCGTCGCCATGGCTTCGGATAATATTCTTTCCCATATGCTTCCCGCCTTGCATGAGGCTCATGGCGATTTGTATCTCAGACATCCCGAAGGAGGTGATGGGCGAGACGGCTTCGATAGCACTGGTCCGATAAAGCTCAAGTACCTCAGTCAGAAGCTTAATGAAAATGTCTGGCTCGTACTTTGCCACGACTGTAAGGTCAACGCCCTCGAAGGTTTCCGAGCCGAGAAATCTCTTCACCTCGTGGTAGCTGTTTTGAACGGAATCGGCTTTACCGATTTCCACAAACCTACCCAATGGTGCAATACAACGCCATGATGCTTGCAAGCTCTCGCCGGCGATCGAGTTCAGCAAAACATCGACGCTAGTGTTGTTATTTGCGCGGAGAATGCCAGATTCAGTATTAGTGTTTCGGCTCGAAAGACTGTTGACTTTCAGGAATGCCATAAGTATTCTTCACGAAATCCCCTTTATCCGCAGAGCCCAAGGTAATCAAAATCTCGGCACCACAAAGCTGCGAAAGCATGATGGCCGCTTGGCCCACGCCGCCGGCAGCAGCATGAATCGGGATTGACTCTCCTTTTTACAAACGGGCTCGCAACTTTCTGGTGCCGGGATCCTTGTACAGTGTGCCGTACAGAAGATGACTGGAATCGTTGCTGCTGTCGTGAAGCTTATCTCGTCTGATATCCTTGGTAGAAGAAGGGAAAATGTGCGTGTTCGGCTGCCAAGTTTCCCAACCAAAGGGCCGCAGACCCAGTCGCCAGGGCTCAGGTGGGCAACGTTCTTACCGACTGATGCAACAACACCGCTGCATTCGGAGTCAAGCCCTTGGCAAGGGACTTGACCCGTCCGATCATCACGTCTCTGAAATTCAGCTAAAGTGGCGTTAATAAAAGACGAGTGGCTTAGAAATCTTGTGCGATTATGCCACTTACACCTGCAGCCTTGGTTTCAATCTCCTCCTCTTCTTCGCCAATGTCACACCCAAACTTGTCATCATCTGCGAAATAGAGGCTATCTAGGCAACCTGGGGTTCCGATCTCTAACTTCAAGTGCCGTTCATGTTGCACAAAATTCTGAGGCTGAGGGCTAGCTCCCATGGTCTCCCGCAGGACATGGTTATCTCTCCCGTCAGCTTGTAGCATAGATCACGTGTTAGGCCCAGATCATTGTTCGAACCCTTGGTTGGCAGCTTAGTGGCCATGATTTCGATTATCTCAATGTCAGGTCTAACTTCAGCGATTCTTTCGTCATTATCAAACACTGCGACTGTCGCATTCATTGCATTCGTCGCCTCGCTTGTCTCCGCCGATGCGAAGACTCGGAGTTGGTCCCCGGGCACCCTCTCCGCACGGTGCGAGATACGAAGACACTTGACGTAAGTTGGAACGCGTAAGCTGATATCGGAAAGTTCGGCGCCGCACGTTGCGAAGACTGCAATGTAGAGGCGCGAACCTAACATGATGGGGTGCACAATGAACCGAGTCTGATGATGGTGAGGCATCAAGGCTGCTGTGTCTGGGACAACCAGCGTCCCAGCACATAGCCCAGCGTTCGCCTTGGCCTCAATTATGTTTCGAAATGAGGACCCGTATTCCATACCTGATCGTGACATGACATCATATGCCATTTAGCAGTCCAGACGTACCTTGCAGGCGACCTCTTGTGCCGAGACGAGTCTTGTGTAATCTTGTGAGCGATCTTTTAGCATCCGCTGACCGTTAATCTCGTTCGCATTTTGCTTGTCTTGCACGACCAATATAAAACCTGAACAGTGTTCAGACCAACCGGTCCCATCTGTATGAGAACAGACACAGAATTCGTCCCAGGTGCTTGATCTGTCCTTGGACCCATCTGCACGGGGTCGAAGCGTGAAGGAAAGCTCCACCTAGGACGATTGCGTAAGTATCAATGATTTTTGACAGAGAACACCCTGAAGTTGTAGCTGTGTGATTCCCCAACCTTGTGGTCTCGCATAGTCGCTCGCTGAAAGACCACTTCACAGGCCATTGACACATAAGCCGCGAATAAAAACACGACATTGAACTGAGTAAGATGATGCGAAAGCCATGGGATTTCCGATAAGCGGATGACCCTTCTCCACCGCGGTTCCGACTCCTCGAAGTCCTCCACTAGCACACCGAATAGTTCATGCCCGGGAAAGCGGCGGAACCGATTGTTTTTACTGATCCGAGTCTCGTGCCAGGATCGTTTTGTGTGCAGCCATGGATACTGAGGTCAGTCAGAAAGCAATATGTAAGGTTTATCAGGTGGTGAATGGTACAGATCCCGAAACTCAAGCGGGAATTCTGTACAGTGCAGGGCTCCTGCCGTTCCAAGAAGACTAGGGGCGGCGTCCGAATCTCGTAGCAGGGTGGATAGGTATCTAGGCGAGCTGCCCGAATACGACTTCTGGAGTTGAGGATCTCCTGGTGCTTTGAGGCTCGAGTGAGGCCCAATTCCCATAATCAGATCGATGTTTGATTCAGACACATCGTCGTTTCTTCCCCAACACATTTTGGTGGTAATTTGTGAAAACAAACCGAGACTTGTTGAGTTCTGACACCAATATTCAGCCTCTAAGTCTCCCAGAGAACTTGCTTGCCTCTCAGTGAGGAAGAAAACGTGGGCTTGACTCAAGGCACGATTCGGTCTGATGCCGCCCAGCGTGATTGGGTACTCGGCCTCGATGTCCCTCCTATGATGCGAGTGGTATGCGATATCCACCTTGAGTCTCCTGACAAAGACGTCGGCATCTGTCGCGAGCTTTTGCAATGAGTCCACCGCGTCTGAATCTCCCAGCACCGTGATTAGCGACGGACTATTGATGCACGCAGTTACGGCTTTTCCCTCGGAGACCGTTCAAAGCAGGGAAGTTACTTCGGCAACAGTGGCACCTATTGTAGCATGGCACCGCGAGCTGCACGTTTCGACGCAAATCCTCCGCGGTGATATGCCACCGCCGTGCACGAAAATAGAGACACTGCTCCAACAGCATAAGCAGCTGCAATCTCGCCACTGGAATGTCCTACTACTGCAGCTGGGTTGATATTCCAGCTCGCAAGCAGCGAGACTAGAGCAATCTGGATGGCCGTGGTAGCTGGTTGGTTTATGTTCGCGAGGTTGATGAGGCCGTTCTGATCGTTGCTCTGTAGCACTTCGAGTGGCTTCAGGAATATCATATGTCCTCCACCGCGATATCCAATCGCTCGGTGGTCATAATTGTAGGAGCATCCATCAGTGCCGAAAAGTCTAGTGAAATTAGCAAATACAGCACGCCCGAGGGGTCTGGAGACCTCACACTAGCATGCTTATAGCAATCATCTTTTCGGGACTCAGAAGGATGTATACTTTGACATGCCAAATGGAGTGCCGTGAGACCCGAACAGCACGCAGTGTCTATTGCTACGCTGGGGCCCTTGAGGTTATTGATGTATGAGATTCTGTTGGCTAGGAAGCTCATCACATTGCCAGTAGTTTGTTATACGGGGCCACTTTGGATGTCCTTATTGAGGAGATTCTGGTAGTCAGACATAGAGCCGCCCACGAAATACCCGAAATCTTGGTCCACGATTTCGTTTAAGGGTATTCCTGCTATTAGGAGAAGTAATCATTGTTAGCTTTTTCGTTGGGTACCACATGCTTGGGGCTACTTACCATGTTCTAAAGCTTCGTAAGTTATTTCGAGTAACAGTCCTTGCTGCGGTTCCATCGCCTAATAAGGTTTTTCTTAGTTGGTGCTGCTGGATGTGAGTGTGAATCCAACACAAACACTGGCTTCGCTCCGCCTGATATCGAAGAATGGGGCGTCGAAAACCCAACATCTACTCTCGGAAAGTGCGCGCCTTTTCCATTGTCTGCAAGTATAATAAGTGCAAATCCTTCAATTGGAGCAGGGTTACCTACACTACCATGGTTGGAAGTATTATGATGCCGGTAATTTGCCCCGTTGATTCGGTCTTTGGGGAACTGCGACCAGACGCTCTTCCGGCTGCAACACGTCTCCCAGAGAGCCTTAACACTGGAAGCATCTCCAGGAAAGCGGGAGGACACTCCAAAGATAGCAATGGGCATAAAGGTTTCTGGCGAGGGACGTTGCCCCGAGCAGCGATTCAAGGCATGCCTCTCACCAAGGTCTACACCAGGACTCGCGTCTGGCATGATAGAAGCGTGCTTCGGTTCTTGTCGGAAAAATGAACAGTCAGGTGCCTGGGCAACTTCTTGCGGGATCTTTAGACAAAGACTAGAAAGCTACGACGCCTGTCGAGAGAAGACTGACGGTGTATCAAATTAGAAGTGTAGGAGTGTAGGCGTAAAGGACGACTGAAGACTGAAGGTTGTACGACCGGAAATAGCGGGCCAGGTTCAGCTTACTCTGGCCACAGGATCAGCGCCTTGAACTCCCACCGATACGGAGATGGTAGAATCAGCATCGGAGAAGCCCACCAATGGGGATCTTACCACGGAGGTCTCATAAAGAGGCAGACTGGTGGGTCTAAGATAAGACTCTTGATGTTGACCAGCTACTGCCAAGAGTCCAAGGTTGTGCTGTCAAATCTGTAAGGTCATTGAGATTATCCTTGCCTTCAACACCAGTCTCCAGCAGCGGTAAAGGATGAGAATATCACGGCGTAAATGAAAGAGAAATACGGGAATGGCGGCGAGTGTCACTCAAAATCTGCCAGATCCCGAAGAATGCGCAAGGACAACCTCGACGGAAAGGAGCACGAGTTCGAGTGAAGCATGCGACCAGTTGGCAAGAAGACCTCAATTCCACAGTCTCGACCAACTATTAATACGCTGGCGTCGATGTGACTGTGAACGTGACCACAACTCCTGAAATGCTCGAAGCAAGACCAAAGTCGGTTCCACGATGTCCCTACTACCCCTCGGGCAAGCAAGGTGGCCAATGGGAGCCTCGCTCATGGACGCTTGAGTGAGAGGAAGATCAATACTGACCAGATGATTGAGGTGGACATTTGCAGCATGTTGTTTCATCCTCAACGCTTCAAACGAGGCTTTGTTCAGGACCGGTGAAGCCCGAATTGAAGAGGGGCTTCTAAGGCGGGAACCCCTGCGCGAATACCCTTTCCCTGTACGCGTAAACAATCTGAGACTCAGATTCTGAGTCCTGACATGTACACACATCCAATGCGTTCGACAGGGATTGCTTCCGAGTGAAGAGCGGGAGCCGTCTAAAACGCGCCCAACCTCGCACCCTAGGCCCTGAAGTAATATGCTCGAGATGGCAGGAAGACGTTTCTACTAACATGGACCCTCAGACAGCCTTAGAGCGGCTTTGAAGCGGGCGCACAGAAGAACTTATAAACAACTATCGCCTGAGCCAGCAAATCCCGACTACATCGAACATCTCGAGATCTTTGGCAAGTGCTGTCTAAGACGTACGCCTGCAACGAACGCCACGTGTGACTGATTACGCTGTAATTGAGAGAACCAGCTAGGTTATTTGGTATAGACCAAGCGCAAGTTCGGGAATCGTACGCCCTCACACCTAAAGGTTAAGTAAGGGTACAGAAGAGTGACAGAAACGCAGCGATGCTTGCGCATACCCACACTAATGCCCTGAATTCTCTTTTGCAATTTCAGAGTTTCTTTCGATAGAGTGACGCTCTTGTTTACACTGTGTAAGCGAGTGAGTGTGCGACAGCGATTGGTTCAAGTATCTCTAGATCGCACATAAATTGGACACAGAATCTCTAATCTGCTCTGAACTCCTGCGCAGCCACTCTGCCAAAAGTTGATGTCAAAGTTGACTTCGCTCAATCTCGCTCGAAATAACACATGGCGCTTAACGGGGCGAACCCCACAGCTCATAGATCCCGGTCATTGTAAGTACTTACAGACAGAACGGAAAAGCCTCAGATGCTTGGCGCACCCACGTGTCTCTCTTCACGGTCTTCAATCGTTGCATTGCGCAAGCAGAATCCAGCTTCGCCGGGCTGGTGGAGTCTCACCCTCTCAATGTAGCTGTATGATAGCACGAAATGACTTAGACTGGAAGAGTGGGGAGAAGAATGGTAAATGTATTTATATTAAAGGGTTCATACCCGTCGTGATAATCTCAAGAGCAATGTCTTTCTCTCTTCCTCAGCGTGCTGCCAGCATCTTATGTATCGCTCTCATCATCGGATCTTGCTTCTCTTCTCCCACAGCTAAGCCAGCCATTCTACGAGCTATTCATAGCGCCGAATATGACAGATCCTCCGACCTTCGGGCTCGTGACTCAAATCGATACCCGGAGCTCGACTTACAGACTCAGGGAAAGCTGATGTACGGGGGTTCTCCAGGTATGCGTACCGCTTTGCGCTAGCGTAGCCCAAAGAGGCGAAGCGAACTCATCTTTCTCAGAGAATGGAAGCCGTATCCTTGCCAACATGATGCTCTACGCTCCAGACGGCCTGTTAATGGTGTTACTGGAGTACTTCGACCATCTCACCTCGGCCATAGACTGCTGGGGGGACGATGGAACTATGTCGTTAACCTTCAACTCCACTCAAGCTTATGAGTACGCTTTGCAGGCCTGGGGATTTGTCAACGCCAATGCCAATGGCAAATTCCTGCTCATCGCCAACCACGCAGGGTGCGGACCAGATGAGGAACGACAAGCTTACATGTGCGCGCAGTACCCAAATCCGCCGGAGGCACTACACACTGACCATTCGTTGCAGTATCACCTCAATTAGAGAAGATGCCGCATCTCTCACGACATACTTAGCCGCAAATGTGGCTCCGTGGTCTGACATCGGGGGCTCTTACGACCTCCATTTCGGGCATATCGTGACTAGTCGTCATACTCCTGAACGACGAGGATTGATAGAGAAGCTCAAAGGTAACTTCGATGAGACCAAAACCGCGGATTTTGATCCGGAATTAGGACATCCCGGTGAGGTTAGAAATATCTGGCATGATGACAAGTATGTCAAGCGAACTCTTCTATCTCTCAACCCACTAAGGCCAGATGCAGTCGTCTGATGCTGGATTGTATCGACTGTTTCGTGGCTGGAAGCTTTCATTTAATAGGTCACGTCAAGGTATGACTATCCTACAGTTCTTTCGAAAAGCTGCTAACTAGGAGCGTTTGAGACACACCACTGGGATGTTGAAGAGGCTACATTGTCAGCCAGTCCCAAGGCTTTCAACGCGACGGTGGAACTCCAAGCGAAGATCACTAGAACCGATAAGCTTGACAAGCTCTCAGACAAGATCGAAGAAAAAGCAGACCTGTTCTCAATGCCAGTTCCCGATCTTGGAATCGAGATCCCCAAAGTCCTGAAGCTCGGCCTTACGCTCTCCTACCAAATCGGATTCTCAACGAAAGTAGCGGGATCGGCCACATTTGTCCTCGGTGCGACAACAAGCCTCCCAGATGATGCGATCATCACGGTAGATCTGAAGGACCTCCAGAAAAGCTCTTGGACTGGCTTCGAGGGCGCAGCTTTGGTTCCCATATTTGACGTCACGGAGCTAAGCGCAAGTGTCAAATTCGCGGTGTTTACGCAGGTCGACCTTGCATTCGGCATCGACATAATAGGACACGACAGCCTGGACGTGGAGTTGAATCTGAAGATACCACAGCTTTCTACAAACTTCGCTGCTGGTTACAGTAGGTTTGGCTCTGACTCCTCCGCTGTCAACGACGTTGCGCTAAACTCTCCGTTCCTGTAGAAGAAAAAGGCTTTTGCAACCAGGACGATGGCGCTTTGATGACCGGGGTCATCGCCACGACGGCGCTAGCTATCGAGCTCTGGCTCGAGGTTAAGTCCATAATCGAAAAGAAGAAGAATGATCTCTACTCATACAAGTTCTTCAACCTCACAAAAACGCTCGACGAGCATTGCGCGCCTTTGTCAATACCGGGGCTCACCATCGAAACGATCCCGAGCGTATCAGAACTCTTGCCAATTCCGACGCAGTTGATTACGCCCCCCGTCGATCGTTAATTACCATTTTAGAGGAAGCGGGGAGCCTTTTTCATAGACTTTTATCTTGATTGCCGTTACGAACATAGCCCCTAATAGTCCGAGAAATGCTTTAGCTTCATCGATACAATATAGAGTAAAGCACTGTACAAGTCTCATGGTATCATGAGGAGTTGGTTGTTGAAGTAGATTTCGCTGTCGGTATCTATCTTAGGCGCATGCTGCCCTTCACCTTGTCCCTCATAGCCTGCAGCCTCGCAGTTCCTCTATCCAACACCATTTCGGCGAATTCACCCTCGCCGTCACAATCCTCCGAATATCGCCTCTTTATATTTAGATACTTTGATCTCTCTTCATCATGTTCTCCGATCGGCACAACGATACCTGCGTACCTCATGGTAATCGCGTTAAGAAGAATCCGGCAAGTGCGACCATTTCCGTCCAGAAAAGGGTGGATGACAACGAAATCAGCACATGCCCACGCCGCAAGACAGAACGGATCTAGAGCACCACGCTGCGTGGCCTCTTCAATCTTGTTGTTCAACTCCGTAACAAATCGGCTCATTGCTTTCGGGACCATTTGCGATGCAGTGAAATGGGTACCACCAGCGTTAACCTCTGCGCCCATCTGTTTCGAGCCTGGCTGCCGTACGTGGTTGCGATATTTACCAGCATATTCTTGCCAAGGCGTATCGTACTTTGGATCAGAGACATTTGTACACAATATCTTATGCGTCTCCCTTATTAATTCTTCAGACAGTGGCCGTTGTTCGATGACAAAGCTATTGGTAAGAAACCACAAAGCTCTTGCATGCTGAATCACCTCCCACCTCTTTCGCAGGATATGGTTCTCAGCTTCTTGGGCACTGCGCTTGGCTTCGATGTAGTTCTCGAGCTGCATCTGATAGTCATCGTCCCGTTCACCAACGTCAACCTCCTGGCCCTTGAAAATCCGATCAACCATTTTTATCGTCTCAGCTAAATTCAGACCCGCTCTCTCGATCATGTTCGAGCCGAATATCACCAGCTTCATATCATCTTGTATGCATTGAGACATGATCTCCGCTGTCTTCTCGGGATTATCTCTTCTGATACCCTGGATCTCATTGAGATATTGTAGGGCTTCATTGAATTGTTCCTGCGGCCTTGATTTTCTTGAATAGAATAGCCTTGTATCACTCATACGAATAGTAAAGTTGAATTTTTGCTCTCCTGCCTCCGAGTTTCCCCAATTTGCCCATCTTCTCCGCAATGTTTTTCGCAGCGTGTCACGGTAAGTTTCCTGGCCTTCTCTCCCCAATGGCGAGTCTGGTGAAGTGGGAGATCTGAGTGCATATTGGGAGGAACTGCTCTCGCCTGCTTGGTTTGTACTGATGGAAAGATTGCTGAATGTGGGGATTGGGGGTCTTGAATGGCCGCGTGATCGTCGGACTGGAGAGCGCTCAGGACTTCGTCTGGGGGATATGTTTTCCATAGTGGTTTGAAGATTGTTAGCTAAGACAAAGTTGAGATGGCTCTGAGGACGGCGTAAAGTGGGATTTGGCATCGGATCAGCGAATAAATGAGAGCTTCAGAAAGCTTAAAGTGAGCTAGGTACAGAGAAGTCGCAGAAGTATATACTTGATTTTCAAGAAATTTGAGTTAATTTGAGTGGAATTACGTTTTCCTTCCTTACTCTTTAATCTCGATAGTCTTTTTTACAATTACTAACAACGATATAATAAGACTACGTAGCTTTAGACTGAGTTTTCACGTGATTCTAATATCTACTACGCTGTTATATTTAAGTTAAAAGTCTTTATAGCGAATAGTAGTATAACTGCGAAAAGTATAAAGTTAAATAGTCGCGATTTATATCTTAGAAAATAAATCTATAATTGCTCGCTATAAGAAGATTAATAAAAGAAGAATATAAGATCTATATATAGATAAATAGAAAACTCTATAAACGAAGACTTTCTCGAGAGTTATAAGATACTTCTTATTATATTTAACTATATATAGTAGATAAGTTTAATAAAAATATCTAAAATAATAATTTAAAGCGATAATAGTCTTATAATTCTACGATTTTATTTTAAAGAGTATAAAAGTAATTAATTTACTAGAGAACTAATATAAATATATCTTCTTTTAAAATATTTATTCTCTTTAAATATATATATATCTCTTAATATTCGCGTAATATTACGAACGTATTTATATTATAATTAAAAACTTAATTATTATAATATAATATTAAAACTCTTCTTTTATTATTATTTTTACTTTTAAATTTATAATTAAATTTATATATTAATTTAATAAATTAAAATATCTTTATTTTAAATAACTTTAATTCTTAAATATTCTAATAGTTTATTTTATAGTTATTATATAATATAAAAATATTATATTTTCTTAACTTATAAAAATATTTATCTATAAAAAATTAGACGAGTAATATTACGAATTTAATATACTTTAAAGAATTCTTATTATTTAAATAGAGATTTACGTTCTTTTAACGCTTTTAATTACTAGTCGAAAAGATATAATATATTTTATAAAATATTTTATATTAAGTTATATTATATTATACTCGAATATAATATAAATAGAGTCGAATATTATATTATTTTTCTAATATAAATTCGAGATTTTAATAATATATATTACGATATAATATATCTAGAATATTATATTATAAAATAATATATATATAAAAAAACTCGACTAGAATTTCTATATTTAAATATATTTATTCGATAAATTCGATATAATAGCTATTACTATTATATCTATTATTATTATATCTAATATCGAAATATAACTCTTATATATTCTAGTTATTATATTTTTTAATTATCTAATTTTATATTATATTTAAAATCTAATCTCGAAGAGATTTAGAGAATTAATTTATTCGTTCTATATATTATATATCTAATATTTTAATAGCTATTACTATTATAACTATTACTATTATAACTACTACTATTATAGCTATTACTATTTATTATTTAAATAATTTATTATTATATAATAGTTATAATAGTAATAGTTATAATAGTAATAGCTATAATAATAATAGCTATAATAATAATAGTTATAATAGTAATAATTATAATAATAATAGCGATTATAATAATAGTAGCGATTATAATAATAATAGCTATAATAGAAGTAGTTATAATAGTAATAGCTATAATAGAGATAGCTATAGTAGATAGTTATAATAGTAATAGCTATAATAGTAATAGCTTCGTTAACTAGAATAATAACTAGAATAACTACTTATACTTCTAAATATAGAAATTCTAGTCGAGATATCTTATATATATATTATTTTATAATATAATATTATAGATATATAAGTAAAGGTCTATAAATTAAATTTATAAAGTTGAATTTTTCTAAGTTAAATCGAATTTTAGCTTTAGCTCTAAGTTAAATCGAACTCTAATCGCTTACTATACGTTTTTAATCTATATATAAATATATATATACGAAGAGAGACGCGTTAAGATCTAATTAGAAAGGTATATCGAGTATAAAGAATTAATTCGTAATAATTACTTATAAAAAATAGAGAAAGACTATATTCTTATAATAAGAAGTATTAAAATATCGAAAAGAAATAAAGATAATATATTAATTAATAATGTAAATTTCATATTATCTTCTATCGTAGTAAAATCTTTTAAATAATAAAATAGCTATTAGAGTAAGATATCGAATAGTTTTAATTCGTTTAAATATATATTATTCGATATTTCTTTTATAGAGATCTAATTAACTATAATTATCGTAGTAGATTCTTCTCTTATAATATTATTATAGTAATATATTATATTAATATAATAAGAATAATAAACTAAGTTATAATAGTATTCTTCGCTTATTAAGTAATAATTTAATATAAAATCGTAGAGAGTATATAATATGAGATCTTAGAGAGCTAAGTCGTATTTTTAACGATAATAGTCTTATTATTACTTAATTTCTTCGTAGTATTCTCTATAGTATTCTTCGTAATATTCTTCGCATTTATCTATTATAGTTTCTTCTCTTACTTCTTAATATAGTAGAGATAATAGATTAAATTATAGTAGTATTCTTTATTTTTATCTATTATAGTTTCTTCTCTTACTTCTTAATATAGTAAAGATAATAAACTAAGTTATAGTAGTATTCTTCATATTTATCTATTATAGTTTCTTCTTTTACTTCTTAATATAGTAGAAATAATAAACTAAGTTATAGTAATATTCTTCGCTTACTAAGTAATAATTTAATATAGAATCGTAGAGAGTATATAATATAGAATCTTAGAGAGCTAAGTCGTATTCTTAATACTAAGAGTCTTATTACCGCTTAATTTCTTCGTAGTATTCTTTATATTCGTCTACTATATTAACTTCTCTTATATTAACTAAGTAAATTAATATAAGATCGTAAAGAGTAAGTCTATTATATTACTACTACTAATAACTATCTTCGTAATATTCTTCGTAGTATTCTCCGTATTCGTCTATTATAGATTCTTCTCTTATTTAACTAAGTGCGAGAATATCGAGAGTAAATATATTTATATTAATGAAATTAGTAGAATTAATAGAATTAATAGAATTAATAGAATTAATAGAATTAATAGAATTAATAGAATTAATAGAATTAATAGAATTAATAGAATTAATAGAATTAATAGAATTAATAGAATTAATAGAATTAATAGAATAATAAAAGAAGAATAGTTATATAAATAGATAAAAGAATTATTATTCGATTTCGAACGCGTTTAATATAATTATAATATTTAAATATTAGTTTAACTTATCTATCGCTAACTTAAGAGAAGTATATAGAAGAGAATATATTCGTTCGAGCTCTTTTTAAGAGTCTTTTAACGCGTTTATAAGTAGTAGTAGATAGCTATTAAGCTCGCTTACGATCTTAATTACTAGTAATAATAGATTTACTAAGAGATAGTCTAGAGATATTAATAGAGACTTTAAGAGGCGAGTAAAAGAGATATATAT